ATGTAAAATATCATTTTATAATAAGTATTTACATACTTATTAGGGATTAATTGTAAAATGACTATAACGTATGTATATTTCCAAGTATTTCTGTAGTGTTGGACTGAATGTATGTCCTGGGCTACAAAAATGAAGGAAAGTGCCACCTAGAGGCAGCACTGGATTGCAGGCATTTGACGGCTGAATCTGAAACCAAAGAAGCTGATACGGAGTATAGTCACTGTTAAGTCAATATAATATATTGGCAAAATGTTGAATAAGGCTTAGCTTTTTAAATTAACTTTAATCCTTGATTATTTCCAGAACTGACTTCAGTATTCATCTAGTTTAACCAACTCACTTTGCAAATCAGGAAACTGAAATTCAGAACTGTTACAGGATTGTCCCAAGGTTGCCCTGTAGTAAATGAGAGAGCTGGGCTGGCACCAAGTTCCTCACTCTTTCTCGAAAGTAATTAATCCCATTCATTTGGAAAATGTGCTAGACAAAACAGTATCAAAAATGTGTGAAAGTATTGTTCTACAGTGTATAAAATAATTTTGAGGTTTGAAAATTACTGTATATCTTTTCTTTATAAGCCAAAGAGGCTGCAAACAATAAACGAGCTTTTATAATACATTTTCTAAACTGTAATATTTTTATAAGAATATAAGTGTGCCCTTCATAAAGTCTAATTTATGGCTCTTGAAATGTGTTTAATTGGCAATAAACCTTTTCAAGATACAGAAGATACAGCCCCTTTCCACTAAAGTCTAATTAAATTAGTTATCTGTGTCTTTAATGCAAACATTCATTCTTTTGCATAAAAAAATCTATTGAAGAGGAAGATGTAGTTTGATATCAAGTATAGGCTGAATATGGAAGTACACATTGATTTTTAAAATCTCATTCTAACATGGTAGAATCTTATCTGGGTCAGAGTAACAGAATACAAACTAAATGTTAGAAATAAAGAATGTATTTACTATTTATTGAGCTACGCTTTACGAAGTTTTATGTTAGACACTTTTAATACTTTATTTCACTTTGACTTTATTGCAGAAAATTTGATTTTACACATCTAACTTTCACCAAATCCCTTTAAAACAAGCATAAAGAGATTTTGTAGAAAATTAAATACATAAAAACCCAAGAAAGAGAGAACAGGAGCAAAGATAACAAAAAAAAATTGTGGAAACTGTAAAGCAATTGGTTGATTACTGAAAAATTTAGCAGACTGAGAAAAACTAAGTCCTAAGGCCAACAGTGGAGAAAGCTGAGAACTGTCTGGAATTACACTACAGAATCCCCAACAGGCTCAGAAACTGGGATTTCCAGGTACTTCTGGATGTGGGTGAAAAGAATAAGGGAAACTGGCAAGTCTGTTTAGAACGCAGCCAGACCCTTAGATTCATCTTCCCACTCTCCTCAGCTGGGACACTTTCCCTCCCCAGTCCTGACAAAAGACTGGAGGTTTATTCTCTGGGGAAGGTTAAACAAGTCTCTGGACTGGAAGACACTCAGATAATTAAATGAAGAGCTCCCAGAAAACAAAAATGATAGCAACAATAAAAAACTAAATAGTAGGGCTTCCCTGGTGATGCAGTAGTTAAGAATCTGCCTGCCAATGCAGGGGACACGGGTTCGTGCCCTGGTCTGGGAAGATCCCACATGCCGCGGAGCAACTAAGCCCGTGAGCCACAACACTGAGCCTGCGCGTCTGGAGCCTGTGCTCCGCAACGGAAGAGGCCACGACAGTGAGAGGCCCGCGCACCGCGATCAAGAGTGGCCCCCGCTCACCGCAACTGCAGAAAGCCCTCGCACAGCAACGAAGACCCAACACAGCCAAATATAAATAAATTAATTAATTGGGGGAAAAAAAACTAAATAGTAGTGATGGATGATTAAGTAAGTTGAGAAAATCTGTTAGAAAGGAGAGAAAAAAAAAACCCAAAGATATGCAACATATAAAATACTCAGACCAAGTTTCCAATATCTAAGTAATAGGAGGTCCAGAAAGGGAAATAAATCATCAAAGAAATAATTCGAGCAATTTACCTTTAAACATTTGAAATTGCAGAATTTGCAGAATTTACAGAATTAAAAAATCTACTCACTGAGAGGTTAGCAAAATGCACAAAAAGTAACCACATCAAGACATTCCATTATGGAATTTCATAATATTGAAAATGAAGATTCTGACAGCTTCTCCAGAGTGGGGGGAGGGAAACTCAGCTCAAACATAAAGGGTTAGGAGCCATAAAGGCTTCAACTACTCGGCAGCAAACCAGAAAGCTACACATTCTTCAAAGAAGACTTAGACATGTGTGAACAGTTAGGGGGTGTTAAGCGGAATTTACACAGGCATACAAATAAACATGTGGCATACCAATCTCATCAGAATGATGGCATAACTATGTTGGGAGGGTTGAACAACAGAAGGATGTCACTGAGGTTTGTGGGGGAAGGGGAAGAAAAAAGAGCTACATTTTCATTTTTCAGGTGTGAAATCAATAAATAATACCAAAAACTAAAATCAAGCAGTAATATAATCATATTATTTATCATTTAACTGAAAGTAATTAGCAAATAATCAGCTTAAAGATGTGAAAGCGGTTGCCTGTGGACAGCCCAAATGAGAGGAGGTGCGGAGGCGGGGGAGCGGCAGACTTCTCTTCCTAATAAAGCTTGTAGATCTACTAGATTCATCAAACATGCACACGTACACCTTGAGTATGAAAGACTCATTTATATTTGCTAAATTAAATCTAAGTTCTATAACCCTTGGAAATGTAAAAGTAATGAAAAACAGGAGTTAATGGGTGGAAGTAGATGTGGAGGAAGATATAGGGGCAGTAACTCTCTTATCTTACACAGTAGGAAATCAAGGGGCACTGTCAAAAACGTACGAGTCAAGAAATAGAATTTTTATGAAGCTAAATAACAAAAGAATTTTTTCCATGAGCTTGGTAGGGATTGGAAGTGGGGAGAGAAGATAAGTGAGCTAAATTTCTCTCATGTCATAGAGGGGAATCAAAAGCTATTTTTAAACTGACATATTAACAAATAAAGTATATGCATATTATTTAAGACTTGGATTTAAGTTCCAGAAAAACTAACCATAAAATGGTTAAAAATAATCACTTCTGGTGAGTGGGAATGAAGGAAAGTATATTGAAACTTACTTTTCATTTAGCAGCCTCTTTGGTGTTTGAATTTGTATTTTGGCACATATTGTTGGTATAATAATTAAATAGACAAATAAAAATAAATCTATTAATAAATACTGGGTGGGTCAAAAGGTTCCTTCGTTTTTTTCCGTAAGATGGCCCTAGTAGTGTTTAGTTGTCTTTAACTTCATTCGAAACAATTTTGTTAGATTCTACATAACAGCTGTCATATCAGCATGAATTTTTAAAAAAGACATCAAAATTGGTGAATTTTTGTGTAGCCATTTTAATATTGAAGATGGAAGAAAAAAGCAATATTTTCGGCATATTATGCTTTATTATTTCAAGAAAGGGAAAAACGCAACTGAAATGCACAAAAAGATTTGTGCAGTGTATGGAGAAAGTGCTGTGACTGACTGAATGTGTCAAAAGTGGTTTGCGAAGTTTCGTGCTGGAGATTTCTCACTGGACAATGTTCCACGGTCGGGTAGACCAGCTGAAGTTGATAGCGATCAAATTGAAACAATAATTGAGAACAATCAATGCTATACCACGTGGCAGATAGCCAACATACTCAAAATATCCAAATCAAGCGTTGAAAATCATTTGCACCAGCTTGGTTATGGGAATCGCTTTGATGTTTGGGTTCCACATATTAAAGTTAAGCAAAAATACCTTCTTGACCATATTTCCTCATGCAATTCTGTACTGAAATATAATGAAAACATTCCGTTTTTAAAACAAATTGTGACGGGCGATGAAAAGTGGATACTGTACAAGAATGTGGAACGGAAGAGATTGTGGGGCAAGCGAAATGAACCACCACCAACTACACTAAAGGCCGGTCTTCATCCAAAGTAGGTGATGTTGTATATATGGTGGGATTGGAAGGGAGTCCTCTGTTATGAGCTCCTTCCAGAAAACCAAACGATTAATTCCAACAAGTACTGCTCCCAATTAGACCAACTGAAAGTGGCGCTTGACAAAAAGTGTCCAGAATTAGTTAACAGAAAATGCGTAATCTTCCATCAGGATAATGCAAGACCGCGTGTTTCTTTGATGACCAGGCAAAAACTGTTACAGCTTGGCTGGGAAGTTCTGATTCATCCGCCGTATTCACCAGACATTGCACCTTTGGATTTCCATTTAGTTTGGTCTTTACAAAATTCTCTTAATGGAAAAAATTTCAGTTCCCTGGAAGACTGTAAAAGGCACCTGGAACAGTTCTTTGCTCAAAAAGATAAAAAGTTTTGGGAAGATGGAATTATGAAGCTGCCTGAAAAATGGCAGAAGGTAGTGGAACAAAAGGGTGAATACGTTGTTCAATAAAGTTCTTGGTGAAAATGAAAAATGTTTCTTTTATTTTTACTTAAAAAACCGAAGGCACTTTTTAGCCCTCCCAGTAATAGAGCAGATGATCACATCCTATCTAGTTTGATGTCTAGATTTTCACACATGTTTATTTGGATAATATTTTATAAAGAGACAGCAATTTTTGTTTCACAGCTGGTCTGAAGCATAAAAGATACAAATGCTGATTTATGATATTTTAGTCTGGTTTTTATTTTTAATCCACTATGTAAGTACAAAGATTGGTAAAGTACTGTCTGGTCAAAATATGTTGATGCCAGGGTGTATACTTAATAAAAGAATTCTATAAAAAGGATCCTTCACATCTAGAACCAGAAAATCTCACACAGTAATTCACTGTAATTTACCTCCTCAAAGCACTGCAGGCCTATATAACCCTCCAAAGGGAGATACTGCAGTTTTACACACAGTGAATACTTCCATTGTCCTAATGCTACCCTTGTCCTACTTCTATGCTTATAAACATGGCACTATTTTTACCTTGAATAATGCATGGCTTGGTGGCCTGCAATATTAAAATAGAAGTCTGTTGTGTGCTTCATCTCATTGGTGTGCCCAGTGGCCTCAATCCAGTGTCCTATTGGCAGACAATAAACACCATCCACCAAGTTGTTTTCATTATAAATACAGCAACGGTCGTGGTGAGGCCCATTGCCTAGAACAAGAAGAAATGACAAACAAAACAATTACATCAATGTTTTGCTTAAACAGCCACAGAGTTGCTGATGCAAAATTAATAGTAAGATGAAAATAAATACAAAGCTGCATAATCTACAGATTTCAGTATAAACAAAAATAGACTAGAGTAACAGGGAACACAGTAACAATTTGTAGAGTCACTTACGAATTACATAGAGTCCTATGCTCCCTTTGAATACATGAATATTTCCAAAAGCATATTAACTCAGAATTTCTTGGGACCTTTCAGTGCCTTAAGAGCCTGTTGTGAGTCATTTTGTAGCCTGATAAGCTGCTGAAAAGGGTTTTTAAAGCCATTAATGTCCCTGCGCTGCATACTTTTATCTTCCTGGTATGCAAATTTATGACTAAAATCAGTAATAAAGTGTTTCAGTATCAGCTTAAGCAATCAATTTTAAAAAACACATTAATAAATAATAAAACAAATATCACATCCAATCCAGTTTGCATGTAAATCAGTGGTTAGTATTATCTTCAAATGGGAAAACTAAGTATCACAGAGATTAACTAGCTTGTCCAGAACTAATAAGTGCAGAGCTATCAGTAAACTGATACCCCTAGACCCCAACTTTCAGGCACCTGACACCTTCATGCTGTTTTCCACCTACTTCACAAGCACCAAGACACACATCCTCTTTCCAGTGAGTGGAGCAAAAGAGGCAGAGACAGAAGAACATGTCTCTGAAAACACTACTTGCCGATATCACAATTCTCCCCAGTATCAACTACACTAGTAAACAGACCTTTTATTTCTATGAAAATTGTAATTTGTACATTATTTTTATTAGCCCTTATGTGACCACCCCATTTCAAATAATTCTTTTCCTTAAATTACCTAATTTCCATATATTGTCATTTATAAGAAAAACATGTAAGCAAAATAAAACGGGAAAAGTCACATTTATTATGAATATGAAAATTCGACTCATTTGTTCCTTGCTCTATCTTACAAAACATTTTACCTAAGGTTATTTGGCATAAAATCTCTTTTAAAAAATCCTTAAGTCATTGGGCATTTCTTTAGAATGTAACTCCCTTCCATCAGATAGAAGGTACAGGATGGCTCCTTTAATACATCATCATTGATCTTCCCAGCTCAGACTCCTCTTTTTCTCTTGATGGCTACAAGGAACTACACCTTGTAACTGCCCTATTAACCTTGATATTTAATAGATGAAAATAAAACTATACTAGCAATTTCACTTCTAGAAGTATATCCAACAGAAATATAAGATTAAAGAAAGATACATAGATGCATACGTGTGTGTGGCAATACTATTTTAATAGCAATACTGTAAACTACATAAGTTCATCTATACATTTTTCCACAAATATTTATTGAATGTTCACTATATGACAGGCATTATACTAAGTCATGTTAAAGATTTAGGTATTTCCCATAAGAGCAATGAAACATTAAAATATTTTAAGCAGACAGGTGACATGACCACATTTTTATTTTGAAAATATCTCTCTGGTTATAGAGTAAAATATTAATTCAAGCACAATGAGATTAGAAATAGAAAGTCCATTTAGGAAAATACTGCATTAACCCAGGAAAGAGATGGTAAAAGCTTGGATGTAGAAATGGAAAGGAGTGGGAAGATTCAGCAGGGAAAAGCCACAGGACTTGGTGATTAATTTGATATGGGAGGTGAAGAAAAAAGGGAACCAATAATGACTCCTAGGCTTCTGGCAAATACAACTCAATATATAGTGGTACCAGTCACTGAGATGTGAAATCTGGAAGAGTTGCAAGGAAAGATCATCAATCTGGTTTTGGCATTTGGGGCTTGAAGTGCTATTTAGATACAAAAGGAGATGTCAAGTAGAGAGTTAGAGTTATTGATTTGACACTCAGACCAGAGATCTAAACTAGAAAAATAAGTTTATGAGTCATCTAAGTATAGATGGTAATTGAGACAAGGATATAGGTGAGTCACAAAGAAAAACAATACTTTATACATTCTTTTATTTTTAATTTTTATTTATTCATTTATTTTTGGCTGTGTTGGGTCTTCATTGCTGCGCAAGGGCTTTTCTCTAGTTGCGGCAAGCGGGGACTACTCTTCGTTGCGGTGCATGGGCTTCTCACTGTGGTGGCTTCTCTTGTTGCGGATCACGGGCTCTAGGTGTGCGGGCTTCAGTAGTTTTGGCTCACGGGCTCTACAGTGCAGGCTCAGTAGTTGTGGTGCACGGGCTTAGTTGCTCCATGTCACATGGGATCTTCCCGGACCAGGGCTTAAACTCATGTCCCCTGCATTGGCAGGCGGATTCTTAACCTCTCCGCCACCAGGGAAGCCTTGAAAAACAATATTGATTGAGAAGAAAAGCCTTCTAGAACCAAGTTTAAAAGCATCTCAACATTTAAAAGCTGGACAGAGGGATTAGCTTACAAAGGAGGCACAGAAAGAGAAGCTGGAGAGGAAAACTAGAAGTGAGTAAATGAGGTGGGGGAGCATGATTGAAACTGTAAACATAGACTAAAAACTTGATGGATGCATGTCTGACTGTTAACAGTAGTTACATCTGAAGAATGTAATTGGGATGGAAGGACTACTTTCAACTATTTTGAATCCATTGGATTTGCTACAAAGGGAAGGTATTACTTTTTAGTAATAAAAGAATAATATCTATGGCTCCTACTGTTCAGTATAAGAGGCTTACAACAATTTAAATGTTGTAACTTAAATAAATTTAATTATCAAGGAGCTCAAATATACATAAATTACACTGTTCAAGCAAAAGTATGTATGTAACATTGACTTCCTAAGAATTCTTCATTCCTAGAATTAGTTTTCTGAATTATTCATTTTTACACATACATGTTTTAGGAGAAGTAACAAGACACATCTATCTCTCTCAGCCAGGGAGGTATCAGTGCAGGTGTAGGGGAGAGCAGGAACTCCCACCCCATTCAGTAGTAATAAGGAGTCCAATTCCTTCAGCTCTCAATGCAGATGGGGTGAGGAACCTGGGTAATGAGGTGATACCCCCACTCTCCTGCTGGAGCAGCATCAGAGGAACCCAGTTAAACCAAAAGGGGTTTGATAAGATGTACAGTCTCATTATATAATGCTCAGAATGTCGAGGTTTCAATACAAAGTCACTCATTATATCAAGAATCACAATGATCTCAAACTGAATGAAAAAAGAAAAGCTCAAAAGATGCTAACATCAAGATGACAGAGATGTTAGAACTATCTGACAAAGATTTTAAGCTTCAACAATCCACTGAACACATTTGAAACAAATGAAAAATCACAAAGTCTCAGCAAAGAAATAGAAGATGGAAATAAGAACTAAATGGAATTTTAGAACTGAAAAATATCAGTATTAACAATTGAAATAATAACTTCAGGGGAGAGCAGAATGGAGGGGACAAAGGAAAGAATTAGCAAGCTGCAAGATAGAACAACAGAAATTACCCAATCTAAGCAACAGAGAGAAAACAGATTTAAAAAAAAAAAAAAGAACAGAGACTTAGGGACCTGTGAGACTATAACAAAAGATGTAACATTCCAGTAATTGGAGTCCTAAAAAGAGATGAGAAAGAGGGTATGGTGGAAAAATATTTGAGAAAAATAATGTCTCAAAACTTTCCAAATTTGCCAATAAGCATAAATCTACAGGTTCAGGAAGTTGCACAAACTCCAAACAGGGTAAACAAAAAGAAATCCATGCCACAACACATCATAATTAAATTTCTGAAAACTAAATGCAAAGAAAAATCTTGAAAGTAGCCAGAGAAAAATAACAATTTAGGAAAACAACCATTCTAATGTCAGTAGGCTTCTCAAAAAAAATGGCTAAACAGAAGATCTCTATAAACAGAAAGGAAATTGTTGAACATCAGGAAAGAAGAACACGGTAAGAAAATATGGGTAAATACAATAGACTTTCTTTCTCCTCGTGAGTTTCTAATAAAAATTACAATGCTCTCTGATGTGGCCCTACATGGATGTAGCGGAAATATTTAAGGCAGTTATATGGAGAAAGGCAAAGAAATAAAGAGGGAAATAAGATTCCTCCAATTCATTTAAACTGTCAAAATGATGAAACCAGTTAACTATGACAAGTTATGTTTGTATAATGTAGGTAAATCAAAACAGAATTCTAAAAAATGTTTAAGTATGAACCATATTGCCATAAGAAGGCAGAGAAAGGAAACAGAGAGAGAGAAAAAAAAACCTCAGAAACAAAAAATAAAATAGCAAACTTAAGTCCTAACATACCAATAATGTCGTTAAATGTAAACTGTCTAAATAAATACACATTAAAATACAGAGATTGTCAGAATAGATGTTTTTTTAGTGAACCAGCTATTTGCTGCCCAGAAGAAACTCACTTCAAATTATACAGGTAAGTGGAAAGTAAAAGTATAGAAAAAAATGCACCATGCAAACATTAATTAAAAGAAAGCAGAAATGGTTATATTATTATCATGTAAAGTAGAACCTCAGAGCAAAGAAAATCAGAGATAGGGAGGGAAACTATATGGTGCCAAAAGTATCAGTCCAACATGGATGGACCTTGAAGGCATTATGCTAAGTGAAATAAATAAGACAGAGAAAGACAAGTACTATATGATCTCACTTAAATGTGGAATCTACAAAACAAAACACAGAAAAAGTGTTAAGACGTCTTTAGTGATTGAATGATTTAACAAACTGTGGTACATCGGATACCATAATTTAGCCAAAAAAAGGAATGGCCTATTGATAATGCAATAACCTAGGTGAATCTCCAAAAACTTATGCTGAGTGAAAAAAATGCCAATTCCACAAACTGTATAATGCCATTTATATAACATTCTTGAAATAAAAAAAAAAAATTATAGAGATGGAGAACAGTTTAGTGGTTGCCCGGGGTTAGAGGTTGGGGAAGGAAGAAAGTAGGTGAGGCTAGAAAACAGGAACATGGGAGATCCCTGTGGTGATGAAAATGTTACCATTG